CCATGGGGCTCTGCACACTAGGGCATTCTTGTGCCCCAGCCAGCCCTTTCCACTGCCCAACACTGTGTCCCAAAGCCTGGGGCTGACTTCCAGGGTGCTCTGCCAGCCTGGGTCTGCTCCACCATGGCCTAAACTTCTGTGGACCCAGGTGGAGCTTCTGCACATGCACCCTGGACTGCAGCAGTTTGAGCATCTACACATGCCATTAAGATGCTGTGATAAACTCTGGCACAAAGTTTATCTGAGACAAACTTTGGTAAACCTGTCTGAAGCACAGAGTTTGCATGAGGCAACAGGGTTCCAATTTTAGGTGGAGCCCCACTCCCCGGGCTGCCACAATAAAATAAATGCAGGAGTTAATATACTGATGTAATTTTATATCCATTATCCTAGGCGGCTTTTGACTAAGCACTAATTTTAGTGGACAGTCTCACAAACGTTTCAACACTGCTAGGTCTATCAAAGAGAGGAGGTCATCAGAGGTACGACAATAAAAATGAAAAGTTTGGTGATGGCTAATGCCATTTTGAGAAAAACAAAAATACAGGAAAAATAAGATACAGCAAAAGAATGAAATAGGTAGGACTCTGTATGGTGGCTGAGATATGAATTAATGAAATACCGCATCGCCCTGACCATTTTGGTCCCAATTCTGCAAATCCAATCAGAGATGCCTGTTCTAATTTCAGATCAGATTTCAGAATCTAGGCTTTGGTTTGTATGTTGTATTCATACCTCATAGCCTTCTTCTTTTGACTGCCCCTCCTGAAATCAGCTAGTACATTGGAATCCATGGGACCCTGAAGATTACAAAGCCAGATGAGGATTTTAGATTTATTCTCCACAGAACATGGAACATATATTCCTTTATGTTTCAAAAAGTACATTGCATTAGCATGCAAAATGTGCTATTTAAATAAAATATAACAATGATAACAACAACTTCTGTATATTTTCAAGAGACAAGGACACTTGCAGGGTTCAAATAATAATCAGTGAATTAAAACTACACTCTAGGTAAGCCTTTAGGGCCATGCATTAGTGTGCTAAAGTAGCAAAACAAAAGGGACATAATAATTGCTTAGACTCCTGCAGTCTTACTTAGAAAATTATTCTTGCATAATAAAAGTCAAAACAGTGATTTTGAGGCATTTTTAATCAGAATATTCTAATTAGAATCAGTATATTATAATGTCGACCCTACAGGTTTTCTATGAGGCCAGAAACATTGTCCTGAGCAATTTTGCCTATTTCTTTTATTCAAAATTTCAGTGTCACCTAGCACTACCTCTTTTTAATTAGAAAAAGAAATGTGAGTGTTTATTTATATTAAAAAGGGTGAGTTTGTACTCACTGGCTGCGTCTAAACGAGATGCTGGCTGTGCAATAGCTCATTACTACTGTAAAGTAACTCATTACTACTGCACAGTAGCATTGCATTATGGTTCATGCCATGCAACGCTACTGCACAGCAGTAACAAGCTACTGCACAGTAAGCATCTTGTGTACACGTGGCCACTGTGGGTCAGAGAACAAAAGTAATGTTACTTTAAAATAATTTTGTCTCTAAAATGTATTAAATACATTTAAAATAAATAAACTTCTAAAAAGACCCAAGAAGTCTTGACATTATTCTATACTTTAGTTAATATAGATCTTGATGATTGTCTGAAGGGCAGTCACTGAATGACCTGATAGGGTATGCAATTTGTGTCAAAATATTTTTCTTTCAACTTCTTTCTTATCCCTTCCAAATGGGAAATTTTTCACTGACTGCAGCAGAACCCAATGGATGCTAAGATACTATATACTTTTCCATAATGTCCTTTCTTGAAAACTGAGTATTAAGCAGTTATAGTTCTCAAGAATAAAGAAAACGAATTGGGGATTACCTGAAACAAACAGTCCTTTAAAGTGATCACAATTCCTTATGGTTTATACATGTAATATCACTGCAAAGAGCAAAGAAACCTTTCAAACAGCATATGAATGAAGGACATTCAGCTTTACAAACCTGCTGAGACGACACAGAAATCTAGAGTCAGAATCACTTTGTGAAGGAAACTTCTTTATCCAGCTGACTGAGTCCTGCATCTACACTAGTCTTGTTTCTGTCTGGCGGCATAGTGAAATCAACTTTAGAATGCCTTAAAACCAGGCGGTCAGGATTGTGACCACTGAAAGTACAGCTAGTGGGTGTTGCCACTTTTGGAAAAGGCCACACCAGAACAAATTAAATCTATATTCACATGAAAATAAAGGGCTGCTGATACTCTAAATCTAAGCTTCAAGATCCCTTTTTTCCTCCATTTCAATTCTGGTGGCTGCAAGTACCTTTTAAAGTAGCCTTTAAACATCACTACAGATGTTTGTGTCTTATTATATCCACCTCTTTTATAATACCACCTTCTATGTGGTACCTTTCCCCCCCGGTGCCACCAAACTATGTTCATTACAAAAATGCGGGAATCTGTATGGTGGAACATGGCAACTACTTAGGCATGCACAACATTACGCAGTGCAGTCTAAAACATGAAATGAAGGATTCTGCACCCAATCAAAAGACAAGATAGCGTTCAAGTTGACAGAACAGTATCTGGCCAAGAAATGGGTTTAATATCATATTCGAAACCATGGTTAAAAAGGACTCCATTTTATGCTTCATGGAACAGGTGGCAACTCTCACAGCCTCCTAATATTATGCTTGGAGAGGATTTCAGTTACCAAATCACAGAGGAGTGCCACCTACTGAGCAGCTTAAACCACTTCCCCTAAAACTTGTGTGCTTCCTTAGAAATCTCCCATCCGTAATGCTAACCAGTGCTGTTTTGCATCAGCTTCAAAATAATAATACAAAAAATACATGGGATACACAATCTGACTTGCAAAACAGATAAGCCAAGACTTGTGAGAACAGATAACTGAAAAAATGTAAACACTGAGGATGTATTGTTGACAAAATGTGGCTGTACAGGTCTTTGAAAAGAAGCAGACACAATAGGTTTTCAATGTTTAACAGAATAAAGATAGAAGCTTACAGTAAGTACACAGGCCCTGGGGCTTTTCCAGTTTCCTTTCTTCATGAGTGGTTCTGAAAGGGTGGGTAGGTCACTTCCTTGTAGTAACTGCTGTTAGAATAGCACAGACGTACCTTTCCTGAGATGTTTATGAAATAAGAGAATTAACCTGCATGCCTACAGAATCAAAGCCTTAAAAGATAAATATAATAGTTGCATTATTTCCTTCACTCAATGAAAATAAAAGGAATCCATTTGGAAATACAACATTCTACCAAAGACCGCTGTAAAAAGATTGGAATTCATATTATTTTCTCTCTATTGTTTTGTCAGATAAGTAAAAAATTAGAGAATTCAAAATTGCACATCCATGTTTATTGTACATAATATGACATTGGTGCAATCTCCAGGCAGAACTGCCAACTTATTCCAAACTGACTTTATTCAGATCTGAAGCAAATGATGAATGATGATTGCCCAATTCCATAGCTACCAGACCTGAACAGATTTAGAAATGTCATAAACACGTTTTGGGCGGGGGTCACCTGGTGTGGCAGGCTCAGTTTACATGCCATGTTGCCAAATTATTTTTAATGGATTTATAGTCTCCTTGAATTGGCTTTAAACATATTATTACTGTTTCAATGTTTTCACCCATTATGCTAACCCTTGCACTGTAATACAGCATATCCTATAATATAATGTTTGCAGGCCTGTGGTAAAGTAAACAAAACTTCAAAGGGTTATTATGTAAAGACTCTGTATTACTGCCATAGGCCTAATTGTTATTCTTCCTCACCACCCCTTGAGCCCAAAGTACATAATCATCCAGTAATTGAACTGAACTGTCTAAATGGCTGGATCCCCTAAAGGACATAGGTATTTACCAATGAAGAAAGTACGGGAAATTTAACAGACCCCATGGCGTTTTCCTGTAGTAGTAGAAATACTATGTAAATATAGATGACCTGGACCTGCTAGGCTTTTTTAAAATCATTACAGGAATCAGAACAATGTTTGGCTGTTACTGGGACTATAAATAATGTAAAGAATAAAAATAGAACTGTGCTGAACATGGAAGCATACGTTTAATATTTTTCATATTATTTTGAGAAAAGGAAGCACCAGAAATATTGCTATAGATTTGTTTGTATCTGTATATATAGCTATATAGATATAGATAGGTATATATAGATATAACAAAAGTATCAGAGAAGGCAAACCCCCATAGATCATCACATTTAATAGACCCTCCAAAATGTGTAATGGATAGTGGATCTCAGGCTTTCACATACTGTAAGTGTCATTGCATTCATGAGATAGAGTACTGAAGGCCCTGACAGCTCTCTTTTACATTCTAAATGACAACTGCACTCAACAGAACAGAAATAAAGATTAAGGAAAATGCCTGATGTGATAGCACTCAGCTTACCTCAAAATGTAATATTTAAAAAGTACAGAGAAACATAGGTCTGTCTTCTTGTATTGTAAGTAAGAACTAGTGTCAAAGCCTCAAAGGTCTATAACTACAGGAAAGGCAAGTACTACAGTGTTCAAAAGACAATGAGACCATGATCCACAGCATCTTACTAAGCCAAAATTGCTGCTGAAGTCAAACGGAGGTTAGCCTAACGTAACACAGATTTGGACTCTGAACCCATATGGAAAATTATTATGAGCGTGAAGATTAACTGAGCAAAACCTTCTCAGCCCCTCTTACACTTCAGTAATAAACAGAATGCTCATTACTAATTGATAAAGCCACAGTGATTTTATACCTGTCAGTGTATATCTACAATGAGTATATTTTAAGAGGTTAATAATACTTATGGCTTAGAATGAAAGATGTCAGCCTACAGATCATGAAGAGATGATTTTGAACAGACCTTTGTTAGCTGATTGCATAAGTGATACCTCTTATTGCTGAAATAACACCTCAAAGGCAAATAATGACGACATGACAATGTATGTAAATCAAGAACTGCATGTGGGTTTATTTTACACTTGAGAAAACAGTGGATTTAATTGTGTGAACCAAAATGTACTGTACAATATTAATGATAAAACATCAAAATGTATAATTCATAGTGCATTGCTTGCTTTATTTTTATTTATTTATTTTTTGTCAGATAGTTCCTTTAAGTACATGCATCTGGAAAGATGCAGGTGCCGGTAAAATTTCTCTATTTAAATCAAGCTGCAGGAACTAAATTTTATTCAAAAAGTGTGGTTTTACATTATATACACAGAAATCGAATATAAAATGACAATATAAAAAGTTAAAAGAGAAAGCATACAGCCAGAAGGTACAAAGAAAGTTGAATAGTTTAAAATGGTACGATATGTAACATGTATTTTTTAAGCTGATGCTGGCAATTTTACAAGGAACAGATCCAACATTTGCCCCATTTTTTTTGTTTTCATGTTTTCATTTACCAATGCAGCACACTATAGAAAGGTCAGCTTGTACCAAAGCTTAACATTTGTAAATAACTATAAACTGCAGTATTTTACAGGAAAAAAAAAGGAAAAAAGCATTTTTACATTTGTTTTTAAATAACAGCTTGCATACTTTTTTGCCAAAAAAATGGCAATTTTCAGCATCCAGAGGGTTTGGGCATAGTGGCAACTTGGTTTGCTATTTTTTATTATTATTTATCTTATACAGATGTAGCTTCCTAACCCCTTGAGTACTAATAGCTTTCCTTCTTCCAAGAACTGCATGCACGTTTTCTTCATAAACCAGTTCTGCATTTAAAAAAAAAAGCTCATTTAATTTAAAAAAAATATATTTTAATAAGTTTTGTTTCGGACACAGCTTTGATCTGAATGAAATGCCTTGTAAGCCTTTATTTGTTTGTTTGTTTGTTTATTGGGAAAGGCACAGAAATGCTATTACAGTCCTCAGAGGGTTAAAACTTGACACTACTGGGTTCTGTGACCTTTATTGTCATGGCAACTTTGTAATTTTAGGATGTCTTTTTATCATTGTTCTTTGTGTCTTTCTTTACGGCTAAATTAATGTCTCTCAATAGTGTCTCCCACTATATTCTACAAAGTATAGCTTAACATCAAGGACAGATGTTGAAAATAAAGGTCAGACTTTGACTCACAAAAAAAATAAAAACAAAAGAAACCCATGCACAGATCAGACAAAGAGCATATAAATATAGCTATAAAATAAGTGTAAGAAAAACCAAGGTCCAGTTCAGCAACAAAAGTAAGACTGATTTCAGAGGCTCAGGTCAGGCCTAGTGCAGTACTATGAAGAAGTTTAGTGCAATGTTCCTGTGGTCACTTGCATACCTGGCTGCTTACCTGGACCCTATTGTTTTTCTAACTCAGTTACATAGATCAGGTGGTCCTCTGGGGACTTGCCATGTGTTTTACTAAGGTGCAGTTTGACTGCATGTTTGCTTGCAAAAGTTCGGTTACAGAGCTTACACTGGAATGTGGAGCCCAAGTCCTCCTCAGCAATTCCAAGTGAGCCCAAAGTCTTGTTTGTGAGGACTTTTGAAACATTCTGCTGTTCTTGAATCTGATTTAGTGGCAACTTTGACAGATCCTTCAAACTAAACCCTAAATGTGTCTCTAAGTGACTTATGTATGTAGAAGCAGTCCTGAATTGAGAGGCGCAATCATTGCAAAAGAAAACAGGATGTCCTGTGTCCAGGTTCTTTAAAAACTTAGTTCCACCTGTCCTCCTTAACTGATACTTCACATTGGCCAGCCAGTGGCTAATTGTGGTCATGGAAAGACCAGTAAACTTAGAGATGTGTACCCGCTCCTGTGGACCAAGGTCCGACATGATGTATTTGCCTTCTGGGGTCTCCCTCAAGCTAGAAGCAAACTGGGCTTGAAGGATTAAAAGATGCTGAGGGTTCCAGTTGGATTGTCTGCCTTTCCTCTTGTGTACTGGTGACAGTTCATCCAGAGCTTCCTCAAAACTGCTTCCATCGGCGTCAGACTTCTCTGAGACAGTCGATGGAGTTGAAGACTTAGGTGTCAAACGCCCTGTGAGGTTCTTTACCATATCAGAAATATCCATTAGGGCACTCTCCCTTAGGGGAGATGAGGCAGAATCCGCCACACTGGAAACAAGAGGTTTGTTTTTGGACTTTGTTAAATCAATGGGCTGATCACTGTTCTCGTAGTAGTACCGATCGATAGCATCAGCTTGCTTGACTGGAGTGGTTGGGTAAATGGGTTTGTCCAACATGCTGTTGCTAATTTTGTAAAGCATGGCCAAAGGGTCCAAAGAGGGGCTTACCGGCTTAGAAACTTTGCCTAAGTGGGTATTCATAATGGATTGTAAAGCACTCAATGGATTAATGAAAGATGGCTCAGGTGAATGGTCTGTGATGATCCCTAAATTGTTACAGCCGTTGGCAACTTTTGCTTTGAGTGGCTCTGTACCATTTGGTGTATGCACTTCCACTGAACTATCCTTTTTGACCTTCTGAACTTCTGCATCAGGACTCTTCTTCTGCTGCTGTTTGTTATTTATTTCCTCTGACTTTGGAAAGTCTTTGTTTTCTTTAGCAGCAGGTGACAGCGGTTTAACTGGGGAAGTTTTCTCTTTCTCCACAGGTTTGTCCTCTTTCTTTACATTGATTTTACCTGTAACTTTCTCTACCAGTTCCTCCATGGCAGACACATTACTTCTGTGTGGTGGGGGTGTGAGGCTACCTGGGGAATGGATTAGTGCATTGTGTTCTGAAGACAGTGACTTTACGCTGCTGGCATAGGATGGCTGCATTTGAACACTCTGCACTGCGGGTTGGAGGGGTTTTACTGTTCCTGGTAGCTGGTAAGCTGCATGAATACTGGGATACCCTCCCCAAGAAGGTGCTCCATTCTGAGCTTTGCTGATAGCTGTCGACACTGTGTTCTCTAGAGATTTCAATATATCTATTCCACCTTTAGGACTATCATCCAGATCCTCCTCTCTGAGGTACTGATACAAAGTTGTTGGCTCAAATTTTTCAGTAGAGTCCTCGTTCTCCTCTTTAATTTTTTTGTCTGTTTCACTGACCACCACTTTTTCCTTTTCTGGGTCCCTCTTCTCCTCAGAGTTTGTGGACCCAGCTGGAGAATCTGGCTGCTTTTTAATGCTGGAGGCTGGTAGTCTCGTATGGGTGGTTGGTGGTAGAGGTATGGACTGTATCTTTTCCTCCACCACAGGGTCCAACACAAGTTGTTTTCCTTTTTTGGAGGCAGAGTTGGTCACCTTTAAAAAATGACCAGTAACCATCATGTGAGCAGTAAGTTGCTGCAAAGTATCATGGGAACTGCCACATTCCATGCATTTCAATATCTGGGCTTTCCGGGCCTCAAACTGCCACGTATAGCTAGCACCATTTTGATAGCCATAGCGATTGTTTGGAGTCACATAAGGATTGGCAGTTTTCTGATCCTTTGCAGACTCACTCTGCAGTGTGGCCTCTGCAGTGATCCCTGTTGGCTCAGGTGAGCAAGGTGAAGCTAAGTCCTGAAGTGCGCGCTTTTTGGTAGAAGGGACCAGTTTAGTGATGGCTGGTACTGGTTCCTTCAGAGGCACTTTCTGGTAATGCTTTGTTTTTATCATATGGACACTCAGGTCTTGCAAAGATTCAAATGAATGCCCACAGTACATGCATTTCAGCACTTTCTGGGCATCCTCTTTGCCTTCCATTTCCATAAGTGATCGTTTTCTAGGCTTTGACCACCGCTTGGTTTTATCAGACTCTTTATCTCTGTTGTCATCACGGTAATGTCCAGTTTCATTCATGTGCACTGTTAGCTCCACCAGTGTGTCATAGGCTGCACTACAGTCTTTGCATCGAAACTTACTAGCGCCGGTGAACACAGACCCATAGAGTTTATTATTTTGCCGGTAAAGCTGAACTGTACTGAACAGACTAGGCTCAGGGAGAAGTCCATATGATGAGGTCTGCTGCAAAGTTTTAGCTAATGCAGCTTGGTGCCAGTCATAACCTGAGCCACCACTGTTACTGTTGCTAGTACTACTGGTACTCGTACTGGTACTAGTATTGGTACTGGTACTAGTACTGTGGGTGTTGGTATTAGTGTTGGGACTGGTGGCATTTGCATTCTGGCTTATTCCATTGTTGCTGCTGGCTGGACTGGATTTCTTCAAGTCCAAAGCTAAACTGGACCAGCAAGTCTCTGAGAGTAAATTTGCATACACAGCTTTTATTTGTGCCAAGCTGTCCTGTGGATACGAAGCATTGTCTGTGCACTGATGATCCTCTTTCTCTTCTTTAGAGGAAGTGCTTTTGAAATGGGCCATTTGATCGCTGTTTTCACTAAACGGCGAACCATAGCCTGCATCCTGATTAGTTGCAGTGCTGACTGGGGAGTTCTGGTAGCTTTGAGCCTCTTTGATCTCTGTTTCTTCATTGCACACATATTCACTCTCCTGGATGTCCAGAGACAGCCCATCATCTTCCACGCTGTCTTCATCTATTTCTGCTGCTTTCAACTCCTCCTCAGGAACATATGCTAAAACACAGAAAAAAACAAGACAAAGTTACAGAACACACACATTTTATATCGCTGCCATCCCTTGTACTAAAAGCAGTAACAATTAAGCCAAATTTGAAGGGTACACCAACAAAACAACCAACACCTGCACTTACACACTCAACCCATAGATCCAAATAAGGTATTTAGGTTACATTTTAACATCCACCTTAGGTTATGATAAATAGAATTAATTTTGACTTTAGTAGTATAACGTGCTGGAGACTGTACCTAAACAAACAACAAAATATTTACCAATAAAAAAACCTCTTAAAATCAGCACTCCTCCAAACAAGTCATTAAAATAGTGCAGCAGCCTGGCAGTGAGGGGGTGTGTGTGTGGGGGGGGGGGGGGGGGGGGTTGAATTTTCCTGATCTGCTGAAGAAGAGACATATAAATTGAGGGCACAGGGCCTGGGTACAGGTACCCCTTATTTATCCACAATGTCTGAGGCAATGGAGAAAAGAGAGTGGGACCAGGGAGAGAAGACGGGGGGCAGTGAGGGTCTGTGTGCGCGCGTGCATGTGCTTGTGCTTAATAGTACAGTTGACCTGTACTTCATGAACCAAGGGCCTTAGAATCACTGACCAGATTGATCCCATTTGCTCAAGGCTCTCCTGTAGCAAATTGACTTCAACTGCACCCTCAAGGGCAATCTCCTTGGTGAATTTCATACTGACAACTGACTCTAATGGAGCCACAAGTGGCAAAAGCATCAGTTCAATTGTTGAGAGGTTCCTGGTGGTTTCTTGCATTGGGTTAATTAGAGAATAGAAGAATCTCACAGGTTTTTGCTTTCACTGCAATAGGACATTTTTGAACCTATCATTTAAGTGCAAAACTGAATGAATTTATAAGAGGAAAATGGAAGCAAAACAGTTATTATTTTCCTATATAAGTAGGAGATGCATTGCCTCCTACCACAGTATGATGTGGATGCCATGTAGCCATTTTGGCAACTGCAGTTGGCAGCTAAAAATAAAATAAATGAGAGATGAATATTTAAAAGTGACAAACATAAAACATATGACCAAATTCCCAGCTCGATTACTGGCTTACAGTAAATATCAAACTTTGCTATTGTATTGCCACCTGGTGAAACGATATAATCTTACCAAATTATGTGTTTATCTACATCAAACTATTTTTTAAACTAGCAAACGTGATATTCATGAACAGATGGCCATTATATCAAAATACATTTACTCCACGGGCCCAATTCACAAAAGTGGCTTACTTGTACCTAAGTGATAAATTCACATTTTCACTGCAAAGTAACAAACATACTTGTACACATTTAACTCCAGATTTATAAAATAAGTATTTTGCAGAAAAATCACCATGACTGTGGAATGCAGGTGGGTTTATGTGCAAGTCAAAGGAGAAAACAAACATCGGCTGAGAACAGCTTTTTCTTATGAAAAGCTATATGTTTCCACATGGGGTGGACTGTGCACTGAGACTTGCTGAAATGTGTGCTAGTCCCTTGTAGAAGAAATGTTGAAAGGAAGCCAGAAAAAGGCACTTCTGCTTTCATGGAATATGGGAGAAAAAATCTTATCATGTTAGCATATTTCAATTGTTAGGCATTGGTATAATTTGTTCTAATTTATACCAGTAGTTCCCAAGTCATTTACAGAACTTTTTTTTAAAATGTTAAATAAAAGCAAAAATGAAATCTCTCACTGTATAATGAAAATAGATTATTATAGATTCCCTTTTTCAGGGGGTTTTAACAGCAAAAGAAAGCAATTTTTAAGTTTTAGGAGGGCAAACAATAGAAAATTATGGAATCAGATTTCCTTTCTTTTGACATTATGGTTTCAGCAATGTCTTTTTCTAGAGCAAAAATCCTGGCTTAAAGTGCATAAATATGGACAAGGCCCTTCTGGCATTTTTTTAAATAAAAAAATACTAATGACTGACAGTTACTACTATGTAGAGGCAGAAAATTGATGGGCCAGATTCTCAGCTAGTATAAATTGGTGTACTTCCATTAACTTCAATAGAACTATGCCAATTACACCAATGGAAGATCTGAATCAGTATTTTTAATGCACAGTTGCTACCAATCTGTATTATGTTGCATATCAGTGCTGGAGGTCACGAAGAATCCACAGAACTGATCTGCTAGACAATTATCATTTTTTTAAATGGCAAAAAATTACATTATTTTAGCAATTGCCACAAATACACATTTCAAATCGTTATCATGTGTAAGCTAAACTTGATCCAAACTCCATACACTTAATTTTTTTTTCTTTTTATTTATAATGTTGTGGATTCTCATACTCTCTCACTTGGTGGAGAGGTTTCTTTTTCATAAAAATAAAGGAAGTTAAACCACATAAAAATGTTAAAGTGACATGAAAGGTCTGGCATTAACCTGCCAAAACAAAGAAACTAAGTGTTAGGGCAAAAATTCCATCTTTCATCTAGTTTCTTACTCTTAGTTTCTGCTGAGACTACTGTAAGGCTGAGGTCTTTATATGTCAATATATTTTGCAGCACTCACAATCAAAGGGGACTGGGAACTTTCTTTCTGCTTTGACTCAATTTTCCTTGATTTCAAAATTTCAGCCAGATCCTGATCATAATGTAAACTAATATATGTCTGTTTCCAGACACATGCCCCCCTTCCCCCGCATAATTAGATTATGGAGTTTAAAAATACATATATACACATAATGCACATTGGGTAATAGGATTATTTATTTTAAACGTTTAATTTGTATCATTAATATCGGAAGGCATTTTGCTGAAACTCTATGGTTTATTGTTAGGATAAATACAATACTTTTTGATGCAGGACTCTAATAATGTTTATGGGAAGAATATTAACACAAACATGGTATTTTGCAAGGTCAATGTAATGTTTTAGCATGAAAGGTTTCTGTGAGAAATGATACAGAAGAACAGAAAATAAAGACAAAACTGTTGCTTTATATCTATATGTGTGTGTTTATAAATACTAGTATATTTTAAATATATATTTCTAAATAATTATAAATAAATAGTAAATATATATATTTACTAAAACTGTCCCCAGAGATTTCTGATACATATTTATTAAAAGTCTTATCAGAGCATTCTGATAAATAAAACTGTAATTTTAAATACAACAAAAATGCTTCTTTCGCACTTATTTGTGGAGAAAAGTGCTGCTATCCTACATTAAATAAAAAGGGAGACCTTGAGTTTTTCTATCTAAAATAGATAAACAGGTTGTCTGAATCCGGTCGTTATTTCTTTTTGTGTGAAAAAAACTCTCATTGACCTTCATACACTTCACTACCTACAAAGGTGTTGCAATTTGAGGTACTGGCATACATGCATGTCCTGAAACCAGACACAAATATCAAGAGGAGCAATAAGCATTAACTTCTAGCAACCTATACTATATCCAAAGCATAATAAATTACCTTATATTATGTTGCTAAGCCTTTTTCTCATCTGTTACATAGAGAGAGAGAGAGAGAGAGAGAAGCATCTAATTACAGATATGAGACAAAATAACTAGAGATTGGGGACACTGCTCTTCTTTTTATTAAACCTTGTTAATATTTTTTTGCCTATAAGATGTGTCTTCTGGACACCAATGTTTCCCCGTAGATGTGCTGTCATCTTTGAACAGCATTAAAATCTGTGCATTCTAATGTAACTGGACATGAGGCGCTATATATTGTACATGTTTGTTGTATAGCACATTGTGTTTGCTTCAGAGAGACAATTTACACGATAAATATACATCCATTGTTTGAAAAGAGAGACAGATAAGAAATATAAGGATATGTTCACAATTATGTTTTGATATGAAAAGTTTATAAAATCTTTTCTTAATCATTAGGCTAGAATTTTTAAAGGAATTTTCTGTCTCAGATATTCTTTTCCATTAAAAAGACTGTAGGATTCAAACAATATTTTAGGCATGACAAAAGCTAACAACTATATTTAACAGCGACCTAATGAAAATGCAGTAAACTCCTTCAAGGTATGATGATAAAGGCTCAAAGTAATTAATATTGAGTAGAAAAATACCTCAGCATATAAGACCCTAATTCAGCAATTTAAGTATTGAAATCAATGAGACTTATATGTATGCTCAAATGCTTGCTGAATAGGGATGGATTTAAACCTAAATTTTTTTGCTAAATCAGGCCCTAACTTGGGATAAAATAATAGTGGTTTCTTTGCAAATGTTAACCATTCAAATTCTACAACAGGTGTATTTCCGTAGCTTCTGATGTGCGTCCATTCAAAAAAAGTTTCCACCATCTACTACTGTCTTTCTCTCCCAGCACAAACTAGGTTCCAGACTGGTGGTGATGTATAGTTTATGTAAAAGCCCATTTCACATTTAAAAAAAAAATCTATAGGCAGACAGAGACATCCTGTATCTATACATTCCTCTTCACATACACAAACTAAAAAAGGGAGAGAGGGAATATATTTACAGATATATTTTCAAAATACATTCTTGATAGTGATATGCAATACAGAATCCAAAATCTTTCACCTGCTGGAATTTTCTAAATAATAATACACAACTACTCACAAAGAATCATAAAAGAAAGCCCCGGAATATATTTGTATGTATGTGTGCACAATACACGCACACACACACACACATACATACAATATGTGTGTGTGTGTTATAATGTCGCTACAGTGCAAAAATGGCTTAGTTACAATGAATGCTGAGGAGCAGTACAGACTATCAGACAACCAAATGACCTAGTGCAGTGGTTTGTGTCTTTCATTTATAATTGTAAGAAAATAGGGAGCAAAATGCTAGTACTGCCTCCCTTGTAATTGTAATGCAATGGGTCTAAAAAAGTAGATAAGGTAGTGCAACAACAACCTCCACGCTTCTAGCAAGTTGAATGATAACCCTTAAAGGCAACCCATTAAAAACCAACAAAAATATTCCTCACCACCTTCTCTTCCTCCCCTCCCCCTTGCCTTAGAACAAACACTGCAAATTATTAGCCAATGTTTGCAACTGGAGACTGAAGCAGCTTGTATGTGGATATATTTTCACAGTGATTCGAATCTGAGAAATTTACTTGCTCTTCCTCCTCTATCTGATAAACTATACATTCAAGCATTCTCATTAGTGCTCGGATCACCAAAGAGAGCTGGAGATGAATCAGTCCATCCACCCCTCCTCTCCCTGCTCTGTCGAGATTATTTCATTGAAATGTTCATTTTCATCCCTGCTGGCAACATTAGAATGGAAGTATTTAACCTGTTTCCATTACTTATACAAATTACCATTATAGGGTAGGACAGATGTTAGAATCATGCCACATAACTGACTTCCATACATCCTTTACAGGGAGAATAAGAAGAAGGAAAGCTTTTAGATCATATTATCCAGTCTCAATAATGTTCTCTCTGCTACCAGATTCATTAACTTCCAACATCCACGTTTCACTTTCTTTCAGTGTGAAAATGCTCCATTTCCTTGAGCTCATTTAATTTGGAGCCGGAAATCTTTGTCAGGAATATTTTTTTGATCAGGTGCTCTAACCAAGGGGATGTGGGGGGACAAAAGAATAAAGAACGGTTGGGGGGGGGGGGGGGAAAAAACAACCCCGTGGTGA